CGCCACCTCCTGTTGCCGTCTTTGTGCAGCCGGTGGCTGCCGCGGCACCCATCTTCATCCCCAGCCCCTCGCCGCCGCCGCCGCCCCCGGCCCCGGCTCCGCCGCCGCCGCCGCTGTCCTCGCCGCTGCCCTCGCCGCCGTCGCCATCGCCTGCAGCGGCGCTGGTTGCGTCGAAGTATGCAGTCATGCCCTACGTGCCAGGTGCGCCCCCGGCCAGAATGCCAAGCGAGCTGCGCGTCGACAAGATGGAACGTGCCATTGAGAACGCTAATGCCACAGGGGCGCTCGCAGCCCCCTCCACAATCGATGCAGCGACCCAGCCGGGCGCCCAGGCCTTGCCGTGCCGCCCATCCTGCCTGGGGCCGGTCATGTGAGCGCACCCCCTGTTGCATTTGAGAGTGCCGCCAGCCTCCACCTGCCACTGCGCGCACCTCCCTGCGCAGACTATGCCGCCTTTTGTGAGTCTGCTGCAAACTCGGCAAAGGACGTCTGCCTTTACTACAGGCGCGCTGCCCAGGGGCAGGGGGGGGTTGCAGGGCAAAGCGGGTCCCCTCATGGCCCAAACTGCGCTGCGCACACCGAGCAGCACCCCGATGACACGGAAACATGGGCGCAGCTGCATGTGCGCTAGCGGTGCGGAAGTACCTTGCTCGCTTGCACCTGCGCCCATCCGCGCTTGTCGCGGCCACACACACACACACACACACACACACACACACACACACACACACACACACACACACACATGCTCTCGCCCCCCCCCCCCAGGTGCAACACCGCAGACACCCCCGAGTGTGACGCCTACCAGGAGTACTGCGCCAACCCAAAGCTCGAGAACACACCCGTCTGCACCCCGCCCTGCGACCTGCTGGACGACCCCGACAGCGACCCGCGATGCAAGCAGCCGGACGCCTAGGGCACTTTGGCCCCTGTGTGGGGTGCGGGCGGCGTGCTGGGGCTGCCTGCGCCGGCGCGGCGGGGGGCCGCGCGGGGGCGGGCGGGGCCTGCTGGAGTCGGTTCGTGGGGTTGAGTAGGGTCTCTGGGTCTTGCGGTCGTTGGCATGCGGGGTGGGGCTGGTCTTTGGGCCCGCAGCGGGCGCGCGCTTGCTCGCGGCATGCCGCGCGCCCTGCGGGCGCAGATGCAGAACTGAGGGGCGATTTTTGTTTCATTGTCGGCGCCGCGTGCCCCTGAGGACTGCTTGCGTGTGTGCGCGGCGCAGCTCTACCATGTATGCACGGGCTGCCGCGCGCGGCCTTGGCGCGCAGCGCGCAGCCTTGGCGCGCAGCGCGCAGCCCGGGCCATTCGATAGTCCCGCTCCTACATCATTGCGAAGAAACACATGCCTTCCGCAGGAGGCCCCCGAATCGCCCCGCGCCGCGCTGCGCCGCGCCGCGCCGGCTGCCGCCGCGGCGCCTGCGGCCGATGCCAGGCGCCGCCTCATCGCGGCTGTGGGCGGGAGTGGAGAGCGGGCGCCTGCCGCTCCGCCGCCGCCCACTCCCTGGGGGCCTTTTGCGGCATGGCTGCCTGTGCCAACCATATCTGCTGCGTGTGTGGCCGGCTAGGACAGCCCTGATTCCTGGGAACATTTGGAGGTTGCTGACCAAAATACGGCATTTGTTAGCCACCGTATGCATACCGTTACTTATTAGCCGTACCTACAGAATCAACAGGTGCAGGATGCCGCACAGCGCCATATTGAGGCTCGCAGGGCCACCACGCCCCGCGCCAGGCGCGCATGCGGGCGCGTTTCATCGGGCCACAACGGCCGCACCAGATGTGTACATGCATCATACAGCAATGGGTATGGCGCGCCATTGCGCCTGACCCCCCCTCCCTCGCTTTGGCCTTTGGCAAGCAAGGCCACGGACTGCCCAAACCGTTGCGCTCCAGCTGATACCGATTTTGATCAATAGCATGTCAGTTTTTTCATCTGCCCATGTGTAACATCTGCTCAGGCAATGGTGGTATGGGGTGCGCTGCACCTGCAGGCGGTGAGACACCACTGCAGCAACAGACGCGTCAGCTCGTATTACAGGCCATGTGATCGCCCGCTTGAGGATGCGCAGGTGGCGGGGCCGCCAACCATTGCCGCACGATGCAAAATGAGTCACAGGCGAGCCAGATGGCAGGTGACCAGGCGTGCTTGCGGCGTCTTATTGACACCCGCGAGCGGCCAGGCAGGCACAAGGGCAGCTGCCACCAGACAGGCAGTCAGTCAGACATGCCAGCAGGCAGGCAGGCCAGCAGGAAGGCAGACAGGCCAGCAGGAAGGCAGACAGGCAGGCAGGCAAGCACGCAGGCAAGCACGCAGGCAAGCACGCAGGCAGGCAGGCAAGCAGGCAGACAGGCAAGCAAGCAGGCAGGCAGGCAGGCAGGCAGGCAGGCAAGCAGGAACGCAGGCAGACAGGCAGGCAAACAGACAGGCAGTCCAGTAGGCAGGCAGGCACGCAGGCAGGCAGGCAGGCAGGCACGCAGGCACGCAGGCAGACAGGCAGGAAGATAGGCAG